CCTAACTGACAGCACACTGAATCACATATGAAGTAAAGCGTCCTGAGCCCTGGCCCTGAGGATTAGTGACCACACAGGTCAAATGAATCACAGCTACATTATAAACAGAAGCGTGATCCTGGCTGTGCACGTGACACAAACTTTCAAATCTGCCTTTGAGGTCAGTCAAGTCATGTGACTGCAGTTGGTAAAATGACCCCTGTGGCCACACGTGCTAACTGTAGTAGACCTCAATATAAGCTACATAACTGTTATTAGATGTCACAGAGGAGTTTTTTCAATCACGCACACAAAGTCATGCAGGTTAAAGGTCAAATCGGTTTCAGGTCTGTATGGATCAAAGGTGATTTGATACACTACCGATACCGCAGTGGGATGGGTAGCAGCACTTTATGGGAACTATCAGCAGGGTTGGAATGCTGTGTTAGCCAATCAGAGAGCTTGACTGAGGCTGCCTGTCATAAAATAATCAATCCTGAGCATCAAAGCTCTCTGCAACCTATCACAAAGCTGCCAAAGACTATAAAATGTAACATGCTTGAAAAATAAACTTGAAACACCCCAGGCAAACACAGCAGTAGCTCTATACAGCGAGGACAAGGCGGTCTGCTTGATCTGTGACGCCTGGCACAAGTTGCTGCACTGCCAAGACATGAAGCCGGTCACCAGGCAAATACCTCAACTTCTTTAAGCAAAGCCCTCGATTCCTTAAAAAGCAGACACGCTTGTGTTTAACGGTGAGTGCCAAAGCTGTTGCCATAGAAACAAACAGACCGCATGCAATGCCCACATGTCCACAGCTTCTATCCTCCAAACAGCTTTCATAAAATGCAGATAGGCACTCAAAATGGATCAGAGTTTCTACTGCTGAGTCCCAAACCGACGTATCAGCAGGCTTCAATGAGACCAGCTTGCTGTTTCTGTGAAACACTTGTACCACATAGGTTCACATCAAGAATGGGAAAAGCAGAGCCATAATTATTTTAATTATCAAATCACACACACATTATATTTTCACAATCTTAGGTTACTGGCTGTTGGCCACCAGTCCAAACCCCAAATATATTCATCCAACAATCAGCTGGTTGTGTCACTTCTACAGAAAATCACCACATACAGCTACACTGCAGAATTCAACAGGACCACCAACACAAACAGTGTGAAGCTCAGTGTTGTCGGCCTGATCTAGTGTGAAGCTCAGTGTTGTCGGCCTGACCCCACAGCTTTCATTACAGCACCAGCAGCACGTGACTGCCCCCGTGTGGACGGCACTGGACTTGTTTTTATCACCTACTCTTGGCACATCCAGTCTAAACCAGGGGTTTTCAACCAGTGGTCCGTGCCCATACACCCCAGAGCAGTGGTCCTCAGGTTGCTTCCTCGTCACTGTGGCGGTCCCTGGGTCACAATAAACCCCTGGTTTAAAATGTCAATACTTGCTGTACAAGAAATGACAAACAAAACAAAATACAACTAGACAGCACTCAGAGTGCAAACCTTCACCGGGGCAGCTCCAGTTCCCCATAATGCCATTCCACCTAAAAGCGCTATTCCCATTATAGTTTGGCCGTCACAATACGAGTTGTGTGTGTCTGACCTAGTGTGCGGCTTAGCTACACCCACGAGGTGCAGGGCAGAGCGGAGCAACTGACTGCATTCACATAAAAATCCTTCCCTCAGGGTTGTGTGGCGGTGTGGGAGTGTTTATTTGTGCTTTAGAACATAACCACTGTGAAACAATCAGAAAATAAAGTTTTATTTCTGTGATTCACTGCTTCATTTTACTCTCTCCATTCACTCTCCGACTCAATTGACCACCACTGTGAATCAGAATCAGCTTTAAACACACAAGGAATTTGACTCTGGTACTCTTTGTCAGTGGATTTAGAGCACAGGCAGTGAAATTTGGACATTAAAAACAGCTATGACGTGGATCCCTTCGTTCCTACCAAGAAGCTGCTGAGTGGAGCACAAGTAAAAAAACGAACAGGCTTGTGCTGCAGTTGTATCAAGTGTCTGGTGTTAGCTGCCATGCTAAAAGGGTTTCTGGCCTTAAGGGGTCTGTGCCAGTCACATAATGGAAAACTATGAATTAGCTCCATTTCATAGTGGTGAAGAGTCCTTTAAAAACTATTTTCTGGATCCAGATCAGCACCAAAATCTGTTTGACTGTTCCGTGGGCATACCCTCCAAAAGCTTTCACCAAAATCCATTCATTACCTTCTGAGCTATACTGTGAACAAACAAACAAACAAACAAACAGTTGCTGGTAAAAACAGGTCGGTCAGAAACTCCCCTCCCCTCCAGTGTTTGTATCCCCTAGATGACAAACTTTAGTGTCTTAACGCCACAGATGGGTGTAAAATGTTTTAACCAAGCCCTGATGTGCTTCTTTGCCCAAAGCAACGATGACATCAAGACTAGTCTGTTTACGGTGTGTGCACGTACACACACATCAAACTCACCCGCAAGTAGGTCTGGACTTTCCTCAAGGGTGTTTAACAACCAGCGACTTGTTTGAAGAACAAACGAACAGCTAGGCACCAGAAGCCGACTGCCTACACCTGAACACTGCTGGCTGCACACAATGTGAGGGGAAACCTGCAGTCGATCTCGCAGAGAAAGCTCAGCACTGACGCTGCCAAGGTAACCGTTTGGCCGTGGCTGTGTCCTGTACATGTGTGCACTCACAGAGCGCATATGGATCACAACATTAGGAGGATTCAAGTCTGAGCAGTTGTAAACATCTGGCATCAATACACATCAAAGACAATGCAACTGTTCATGTCAATGTTATTATGCAGAACGTAAGTGCTCACGCCGGAGGGGAGTTGCTAAGCAACCAACCGCTTTGCTCAGCTCCTCTTTGGCGACCACACTGTTATGCAAAGGAAGCAATTTTAATTGCTGATTTTTAAATAATATTCTTGTGAAATATTCAATGAAACTGTGTTACTGTTTTGTAAGAGGCCAAGGCAGCGAGCCCACAGACCTGCACAGCTGGCTGTTCTAACTACAGATGAAAAAACAGGACTATTAATCAATTGACAGAAAATTCATTGACAAATTTCAGATTGTTTGCATCATTTCTAGCAAAATGTAAAAAACAAGCATCCAAACAGAAATGCCTTACATTTTCCTTATCATACTTATAATGCTATGACTAACTGGCTTTATGTGACGAGAAAACTGGCCGTGCTTACATTTTCCTTATCATACTTATAATTCTATGACTAACTGGCTTTATGTGACAACAGCAGCTCAGCAGAGTGGATTAAGAAGGAGAGTGACGACGTCTCCACTGACTGTTTTCTACAGTAGTGACCGACCATGTGAATGTCAAATACATCCAAACATTTGCAGCAGCACCGAGACTTACACTGACTTGGCTGCTATCTTCCAAAGTAAGAAGCTGAAATCAACAAGCATTAATTCTACTTGTGATATTTTAAGTTAATGACATTTCAAAACACGTTTTATAACCTTTTAGACTCTGGGTCACTTTAATAATGAGGTACGTAGCTAACTTCCCCTACAGAAAACAATGAATCTGAATCGGCAGTTTGGAGCCATTTGAAGTTACATGAGTCAAATGACCTGCTGCCATTTTTGACCCCTCAATGTCGCAGCTCTTCTCCTTTAATGGCTCTGGGGCTTAGTGAACATCCTGTTTAATGATATACTCCTTCTCTGTCGCCACTTTTGTTTCTACTCAACAAAGCGTCCGACCTGACGAGGACTTTCTGGCCCTTGTTGGATGAGCAGTGTATCCCACTTGCCAAGGCGGCGACTGCTGCACGTTCCCTGATGCTTATTGACATGATGATTCAGATACTTAGGTTTTTAACATTATTTGCATTTTTCACAAATGATCACTAACAAGATGAGTTTTACTCTGTAAATCAGATTCCAGATCAGCAAACATGAATTTAAACACACACACATAAATTGGAATTATTGCTACACAATAATAAACTCATGTCATGTGTGTAATAGTGTAACTAATGAGTCTAATGACAGCCTCTGTTTTGGATGAGAAACAAGATGACCAGCTGATCCTTGTGCTGGTCAGTGGAGAACTGATCTAATTTATGTCAGCTACTGTGTGTACAGCAGTCAGGAGTCGTTTTCTTCTCAGTCCCTCATGTTTGCTAATGTGCAAGGTCATCACAAGCTGCAGAGGTCAATTTATAAATACAACACTTCTGGTGTAGACAGGAAGCCAATAGCGCCGGGGCACTCCCTTGTTGCCAAAACGCTAAGTAGACTAAACCATTATTTGTTTAGAAAGGGAAAAAAAACAAACAATCAACAGATTAACTGGTAACAAGTGTAACCGTTAGCTGCAGCTGTGGTTCTACAGCGTGGTCACTTGGGTCATGATACAGAAAAAGACACAAACGAAAGTTAATTTTTTATGTGCCGCTACGTGAACTTGATGACCGTCTGCAGGACCCTGCAGGCCTCAGTCAGCCTGTCAACATGTCTGCTCCGTAACAAAACAACCGCTTCCTGTCGCTGCAGGAAGCTCTGGAGTGGCACAACGTGTTCCTGAGTCAACTCATCATCATGTGAGATTCAAAGCTGCAACTAGCAGCACAGAGCACGTCGATGTGCACCTACACGTGCTCCCACAAAGAGACAATGGCGCAGCGGCTGGCAGACTGAAGCGGAAACCCAGAAATACATTCCCAGGTTTGTGCTGGGCAGATAAACGTATTAGCAGACAATGAGATCATGGCGGGGATTACCATCAGATAACACACTGCCCTGAGGCATCATGGAGCCGGAGGAAAAGGAAGTGAAGTTATAGAAAATAGTGAAAGGTGTGGCAAAACAGTAAGAGCCACAGGGTGTGTCTGTGTGCAGTGTGTGGTTTCAAGGGGGTGTATTTTGGTTTGATGACCCTGAGAAACTTTCATGTGCTGTGAGCTGGAGTGTCACTTGAAATATGACCTGCTGTTGAAAGACGGCGGTGTCCTTCTCTGACAGATACTCACCAACAGGTCGACGCTTTCTTTGCGTCCCAGAGAGCCATGCTCCACCCTCTCGCTGCCTGGGGTGAGGATGTAGGGGCTCTGACCTCCGGAGGGCTTCATGTTGGGCAAGCTGAATGACCTCAGGTCCTTCACACCCTGTTCCACCTTCAACTCATCACCTGGTCGTGCTAATTGTCAAAAAAAAAAAACAACAACACACACACACACACACACACGTGTGTGAGGTTCAGCGTGTGGGAAGGTGAATCATGTAAGCTGAAAACTTGACCAACCCTCAAACCAGTATTTATTTATTCCATGCAGAGGAAGCCACTGCGGTCAGAATGTCCAAAAAACGCTGAAGCGCTTTCTTTTCAAGTTTTCTTTTTTTTAGTTCTGAGTCATGCTGAACTCAACACCACACCCAGAGGACACACTCACCGTTTTGTCTCCAACTTAACAGGCTCTTGTAAACATGGCAGAAATGTTAACACTGACCAAAATTAGTATTAAATTAAACCTGCATTAGCTGATTTGTTTGACCACTTTCACATACAAGTAGTCATGTGATCCTCTTAAAATAAAGATGATTACATCTGCTTAAATCTTTAAGGTTTAGGGAAAAATAGAGATTTGTCTGAACAGCTGTGGACTTTCTTGCTGGTTTGTTTCAACCTGTGTTCAAACTGTATCCAACTCCAGACTGTGCAATGGGAGGGCAGCCGTTTCAAAACAATAGCAATTAGTCACGGTACTGCATCATCGTTTATGACAGGCTGAAACAGACCTTTGATCTGAAAACTGCAACGTGCAGGAAAAGGAATGGAAAGAAAGTGACAATGTTGTTGTGCTGCTGGTGCTGCGTTAATAAGATTCATGCTGATTGTACAAACACTCCTGGAACAAGGCGGAGCAGACTGCCAGCACAACACCATCTGTCCTGCTCAGTCTTTGTTATAGGCTGCAATTAAGTCTGGTATGTTGTGCAGAATACAGCGTGACTGCTACATGCAAGACTGAAACGTTACTCACTCTCTACGAACAAGGCAAAAGTCAGGCCTTTTATTGTGCTATTTATTTTAAAAGGGTTTTTTTTGCCCATAGTCCTTTTCACAAGGGCCCAACAACTGCATCAATTGTTATTCTTTAATCATTAGAACTGATTTTGAAGTCTGACAGAGGTATCAGTTGGTTCAGTGCTGTATGGCTGCTGTTACCTTTAACTTTGAGGTAATGTCCTCCAAACCGGTAAGCCTCAAAACTGAGGGACAGAGGTGTGTTGGACTGATCCAGGAACAAGTCGACCCGGGACAGCTCAATGCCGTTTCTTTCAAACACTGGCCCGAGCACCTCTCTAGCAGCACGTCACAGAGGAAACAAAAATGCACCCAGAAGCTGTTGGTTATGGTTCTTATCAAGCGCTTGCAGGACATTTTTTGTGTCCATTCACACTCTCACCTCAGTGTTTTCTTTTTCACTGCAGGTACAATTTCTGTGTTGATGTCCACGTTGAGATCAAACTTGAGGCTGAAGCACTCCTTACTGGGGTCCTGCAGGGGGAACAGACACACCGTTAGTTTACATGGGTGGGGCTGCAGCTCTCCCAGCCAGCCCCCGGCGCTCGTGCTGGGATATACCATGATATCATCACTGCAGAGTCATGGTGACTGCTGTCATATTGCACAACCCTCTGCATGCATCATACACCAGTTGTGAAAAACACGCTTGCGTCACAAGGAACGAATACGTCTCTCCACACCTGTAATGCCTTTCAGGCATAAACGCTGCAGACTCCCTCAAAGAACTGAAGTGAGACAATCGTTTCATGGGTGGATTTTTTTTATGCTGCTCACTGCAGCCTGTGTGCGTCTGATTACTTACATCAGTATGTCGTCTCCGTTGCTTCTTTTTCACCAGCTTCAGCCCTCCTGTTTTGCGCTCCCTGCAAAACAGTTACCCACACACTGTCACGCCTTTATCACATATGAGAAACTGGCTGTTTAATGTGGCCATCAAGACTTAAAAAGAAGTGATCACAATGTCCGTCAGGCGACACTGTTCATGGTTTTCATGTGTCCTCCACTGTGAGTACACAAGAGCTCTGCTGTCAGGTGGGAATACATGAACACTAGCATGATGTACTGTAAGAGAGGGTCACCGACCCGCGGTCGCTGCTCCCGTCATCCTCTTCCTCCAGGTCGGAGGGGGGGCTGGTGCGCGGGGGACAGGACCGTGTGGAGACGTTCCGAGCCAGGATGGAGGCTAAAGGTCAGGAAAACAAAGCAGTCAGTCCTTCTGTCTGGTCGAACCTAAGGTAACCTTTGATTTAAAGGATCAGTTCACCCAAATTACAAAGGAACCCTCTCTCTACCTGTCTCTACTCACTACTACCAGGGACATCCTGCCATGCAGATAGTTTGGCTTTAATTTGTCCAGCTTTGATATATATTCACATGGGGATTTTGTTTGTTGTGTTCACATTATATTTACCAAATTCAACCGTGTCATCTCTTTGCAGAATCAGTGCCAAGTTAGTCTGGCTCAAAGGTTTATCTTTATCCGTTATGTCCATCACAGTAAACGTCCATAAACCTGCTTAGAAATCCCAAGAAAGAATGACGCTCCTTTTAGCTGCAGAACCTGCCTGAGAATAGTCAAGTTTTAAGTTTCATTCGGTGATATTTTAGATTCTTCTGGCCATCCTTGGAAATGCTGCAAACATGGACTGCTGATAGCTCATTCAGCACACTTTTAATAGTGCCAGCTTGTCAAAATGTGGATGGAAACAGGATAAAAATGGGGCTCAGGCTGTACCCTATGGTCCACAGTGTCAGACTGCTAATACTGTTGCACTACTGCAGGCTACGTCGGCACTGAAGTGAGAGAATAAGATGTGGTTTGGATGAACTACTTCTTTAACATGAGCAACAATGAGAATTTTGCTATTGATATAAATGTTGAGACATTTGACATTAGACAAATGATCATAAACATCACAAAAGTTAAAAGTCTGCAGTTCATGAGAAATGCAGTATATGGGAGATGACCACGTGCGCTTTATTTAGACACCAACAAACACTCAGGGTCACACAGTGACATCCTGAAATGAGGCAATGGGTATGACATCACCGTCCGAGAAGGATTACCAAATAAAGAAGTACTGAGGGTGTACCTTGAGGTTGCAGGTCAAATCGAGGGTGCCGGTCAAAGTGCATGTTGTCTGTGTTCTCTGAATGGCAGCGCGAGTCACATGACTCACACAGGTGAAGGGGGCTTTTGGTAGTCAGGTCTTGGCAGTCTGGGTGGTGGCAAACCTGGACACAGAAACAGATGCAGACAAGAGAAAGTCAAATAAACCAAGCTTCCAAATACACAAGATCCCTGAATTCAAATACAGAAACATTTTAAAAGAATGGGCCAGAGTGAGAAGAGTAAAACAGTCACACACATTTAGAAACAACAGCTCCCTGCTGGACTACTATTACTGCCACAATTAAATGACCACAGAAGCTGCCACGG